CTGGGCTGAAGCTGCGTGGTCGTGTGTGTGCATCACAGTGGGCTAGTTCATTACATAGCCACACAGCAGGGCTCGCTAGTCTGCCTGCAGCACCTTATGCATGCAGTTAGGCTACTTTAGGTTCAGGAGATACACTACTTCCACTGGGCTGGCATTTGTGGGGGCACCGCTGCTTGGCACAGTAAGTTTGTGATGTAGGTCTGCTCTAAAGTGTCTGGGAAAGGCTATGGCAGAGCATAAAATAAGGCCAGCAGCCAACAAAAAACATCTAGACTGGGCCATCTCCAGACTGAAATGTCTAAGGATTGTGTCCACTTCATTTTTGTTCTGTGGCTTCTTTCAAAGCATTGTAGGGGATAATTGTGTAAAGCAGGGAAATAAATGATCCTGATTCTGTCTGTGGAGGGAAGGAGAGACAGGTTTTGTTTATACAAGCAAAATCCATCCTGTTAAAGGTAGTAAATGTCACTTTACCCCTTGTTTCAGGAATGTATTTGGTAGCCGTCGTTGTCCGAGACAAAAAGAAATGCAAAACTCTCAAACTCCCAGTTCAGAGATGATACCTTTTCTTAGATCAGCTAAGAAATGACAAAAAAATAACTTTCTTTGCAAGCTTTCAGGCACTTTTTACCCTTTGAGCTCTCATGTAGAATAACGAAATGAGTAGCTTGACTCATCAACTGCCTCAGCCTGTCCGCTGAGCTTTAACCTTTCTAAATTCCAGTCCTTGGGTCATAGGGCGCAAACAGACGTAGCCTTTGTGCTACCAGAACAGTTTTTATGGCAGCACCATTTGCCGCACCATAAATAACCATGTTGGTGGCCCTTACAAAAGGCGGTAATAGTGTCTGCCACTTTACTGTGGCAGGTGTCTGTTAACTTTTTGATGGGAGAGCACAGGCAGTATGGAGCTGCCCATGCTCTTCATTCATCCTGAGCAGGTGCTTGCAGGGCCTGAAGGGTCTAATCCTGTATGCCCTGGGAATGCCTATACAGGATCAGGCCCCTCAAGCCTCGAGAGCGCCTGCCTGGCCTTCCCAGCTTACAGGGAAGTTATCGAGGAGTTTCCCTGGGGTGGGTCTCTGCAAATGGAGAACCCCGGCTTTCTCCACTTAGAAGCATGTCCCAGGGCATCTCTGGGCAAGCCCCTGGTAGCGGGGAACACAATGCCTGTTGTCCCTTAGGATCACACATCCTGGCACAGCTGGTCTGCTGCTTTTGGCAATGTCTGTTTGTGTCTCTGGTATTCTTACTGCCCTTTTTGCATAGTCCTGCAGAGCAGTGGTTCCCAACCTTTTTAGACTGCGGACTGGTGAACTGCAGAACAGCATACTGCAGTCCGGAAGTGACCGGTATACTGCAAACCAACAGCCATCCCTTTTTTTATACTCAGTATAAAAAGGATTGGCTGCCGATCTGCAGTATGCCGGTCACTTCCGGACTTCCGGTCCAGCAGCCAACACTTCGCAGCCCGGTACTGGGCCATGGCCCGGGGTTGGAAACCTCTCCTGTACAGTACCTTTCCTTCCTTGATGTCTACATCCTTCACTCTTCATTAAGTCCGGCAGAGCTGTCAAAAACCTGTTTTTTCAGGAAGTAGATGAAAAAAGAGACTTTATCAAGGACTTTGCCCCCAGTGGATTTTGTCTCCATTTTTGTGTTTCGTCCTAAAATATTTACATGAGCATAACTTAGGAACACAGCACTGGAAGGCACCTGTTGCACCAGCCCTTACCATCAGAGGCACAATATCCTGTAGGCCCTTTCATAAACTTATTAAACTTCATCTTAAAAATAGTAATTTTTAATGCACTTTATTCCTTTGCAAATTTTATTCCAGAGCTCCACTGCTCTGATACTTGTGTGTCCTTCTCATTTCCTTCTTTAAAGTACTACTTTTGATCTTTGATTTGACTACTTCAAGTTAAAAGAGAAGCAATGATGACCTCACGTAGTTTTTGTAATGCCACCCATGGAAAATGTTACAAAGCCTTCTAAATTTAGAGGACAGTGGGGTTTGGTTAGTAGTAGGATTAATTATTGTGATTGGGTAGGATAGTGAACTGAACCTTAAAATGGATTTGACTGAAGGTTGATGCTTCTGGAAGTTGAGCAGTGCTTCCAGATCATGGTTTTTATAAAGCTAATGAGTTCATCTTCATTTTTCCATCTTCATGTTAATGAAAAAACACTCGCATAGCAAATTCATTCTATCGTCAGTGTGAAAATTGGTGATCAATACCGTAGGCTATCAATATACTAATTTTTTTTTGTCGTTAATGAATTTATCTGGTTCAGCATAGTTGAAAGAAATTATAGGAAAGGAGCAACCGAATGAATCGAAGTAACACAAGCAGACAGTTCTCCCGAAGTAAAATGTAGATGTTGTTAAGTAACAGACCAGCAAATGGCCGCGTCTACACTGCACAGTAACGTCCCCAAACAGCTTTTTGGTGATGCTGACTACACCGTAGCTCGTTACTACTGCGCAGTTGTGTCATGTCACTCTTCGTGCCACGTGATGCTACTGCTCGGTAGTAACAAGCTGCTGCGCAGCCGGCATCTCTTGTAGATGTGGCCAATATCTACTGACGTCTTGGACGGTACAGAAAGCATCTGCTTTGGCTTCTTCAGCATCAGATATGCTACGGGATGAAACCCGATGCCTATTGAAGTAGTGGAGCAGAACATTGAGTTTGCTGCCGGAGACATCTGAATGTCATCACAGTAATCGTGGTCTCGGAGCCAGCCCTTTCACTACTTACCGCTTCAATTTCAGCTTCATTCAAAAAGCAGTTTCTGTTGACTTTCACCTCTTTCCTACAAACTGACAAAAATCAGGCAGTAATTCAACGATAAAAACATCTGCAAAGCCATCTCTTAAGCTTTGTTCCAGTTGCACCATTCCTTTAAGCCAACTATATTGCTTTCTAGGCACTCCAAAGTGAGCAATTTAAACAAAATATTGAAGGATCTCAGGATATGTGGGTAGATTAAAATTTATGTGGCCATTACTAGAATGCAGCAAATAAGGAAACAAAGGGAAAAATTATTGGTCATTGATCAGTGGTGTGAGGATGAATACAGCAGTCCATATAGAGGGGGAAAATGTTTCTTAACTTTGATTCTGCACGTGAAAAGGAGGCTGGAGAGGAGTGGGTCCAGTGGCTGAAGATGACATTCAGGAGCTCCAAACAATATGACAAAGTAGTCGTGCCGTTCTTTTCAGGCAACAGAAGTAAAATGGGGGAAAAAGAAAAGCTCTTCTTGCACCTCTGATATATGGAGGTTCAGCACATATGAAAAAAAAAAAGGAGTGGTGTCTAAAACAGTTGTGATAATTTTCTTGACGTGCTTTACAACTCCTCCAGGACCAGTCAATTTCCTTTTAAAAAAAAAAAAAAAAAAAATTTAAAAAATGTCCAACTTCCAATGATATTCAATGAGACCATAGGCATGATTGTTGGTGACTGTCTGAGATCTGACTGGGGAGAGCATAGTGATTTTACATCAATATTATGTCTCCCTAAACCAGGCCCCTTAGGCTTGTCTGGGAGCCAGTTCAGCCCTGGCATAATTTATAGTGACTCTACACTGCCTATGTATACATCCAGCTGTTAGCGTCCCAGGCTAACCAGAGCAGCTTCATCCCAGCTGAGCCTTTATGCTGGCTTCTAGGATTTCACAGTGTCAGAGAGATTCTTGGATGGTCATTTGAACTGACTTTATGGCCCCTTTGTCTTTTGGGGGGCATGGAACTTGTCTCTGTTTTTTTAGGGGTGGGGGGGGGGTTCTCATTAAATGTGCTGAAGTATTGGGTATCCAGTTTGTAGCCGTATTGGTCTAGAGGCAAAAGGAATCCAAACTCGTGGCAGAGGTGATGTCTTTTATTAAACCAACTAGATATTTGCAAAAAAACTTTATTTGCAAGCTTTTGAGCACAGGCACCCTTCATCAGGTGCAGGAGATTGCAAAGACTGTAAAAGCTCTCCTAGGTAGAAATGAAAAAGAAGAACTTTTACAGTCTGCAGTCCCCTATGCCTGATGAAGGGTGCCTGTGCCTGGAAGCTTGCAAATAAAGAATTTTTTTCTGCAAGTATCTAGTTGGTCTAATAAAAGATATCACCTCTGCCACAAGTTTGGATTTCTTTTGCCTCTAGACCAGTACGGCTACAACCTGGATACTGGGTACACCTGAGAAGTTATTCATGGTTTAGTTTACACTCTAAGAGCATGTCTCCATGAGACGTTTACTGCAGAGTAAATCATCTCCACAGTAAACATCTCACGTCTACATGTGCAGTGCTGTTAGGCAGCAAGAAACTAATAAACTCCACAGTAGGATAGTACTTTTAAATACAAATTCTATCCTGCTTCAGAGTTTGGCTTTTTTTGTGCACAGCTGTAAATGCTGACCCAGCTGGCTGGGTCATGAGGGTGCTACAGTGCGGGGGCTGCCTGCCGGTTGGCTCCATACCGGAGCACCCTTGTGCCCCATCCAACCCATCCACAGCTTGTTGAGCCAAGTCGGAGCAGCCCTGGGGCTGGCAAGCCAACCCCCTAGGTCCCCTGCCAGCTGTGGCTACTCTGACCTGGATCAAAGTGCTGTGGTTCTGGGTGCACGTTCAAATGGTGCACCCAGGAGCAATAAACTCTGGCTCAGTGTGGGCTGGAGTTGATTGCTGCATACTAATAGCATGTGTAGATACCCTAAGGTTTTCACAGCAAGATAATGAAGCCCAAGCTGTATACAAAGTATTGATGTTAAACCTGTTTAATTAAATCCATGCAACTTTGTATATGGGCACCCTTGGATCCATTCCAAGTTAACTTGTGTTGGGCTGCTAAACCAACCTAAACAAAAGCTATGCCTTTTTCTTGCTGGGTTTTTGGCCTCCTAACTCATGCGTATTAGTTACACTGAGTGGGGTTGCATACTTTTTTTTAGTAGTGAAGATAAGACCTTAGACAAACTCCAAATGTTTAAAAGTCCCTGAAGCATGTTACAAGTTGATGACCCGTTGGCACGGTCTCAGTGGAAATCCGGCCTGATAATTTGCGAGGAACGGGAACTGCTGGAGGACATGAATGGAAAACAGGGTGGAGAAGCTATGTAATTTTGCCATGACTTTTCCAACCTCGCCTCACCGGTTTTGAATCCGAAACTGTTAGGTGACTCCTGGCCAGGAAGAGGAGGCTGAAACCGGGTGAGGGAATGCAGGCTTTCATTTCACAGCATTTCCAGTCCTGATCTTTATCACAAATCCAAAGTTATGCGATTCAAAGAGGAATTTCAGCTTTTGGTTAAAAAAACAAAGCAAGTTTGTAGACTTTGCAGTTGACAAGAACATCTTGAAAGTGTATTCCTGAATATATCAAAAACCAGGAAGCAAATCTCCCGAAGTTCACCACTTCTGAAAATCTCATCTCGTACTTATTTTTGGCTCCCTGACTCACTGCTTTCGAACCTTTGATATTGGCCACACACGGCCCTTCCTCAGAGCTTCAGATGCTCCAGACCTCTGCCCCAGGTTCATTTCTGTGCGGAGATCAGGTCACCTTTTGCAGCAAAATGCTGGAAAACTTGAAAGCAAAAGCAGGGAGGGCAGGAATGGGAAAGTCCAGTATTTCATCAGTTTTTAAATGACTGGATCTTGTCCTGCCAGCTCTGAATCATGGGGGGGGGGGGGGGGGGGGG